ACTTAACTGTAAAATTTCGAAAAATATGTGAGAAGATGCAGAATTTTCCGGTAAATCTTCTGGTGTTTTCAAAATTCTTATGAAATCTGTTTTTGGATCAAGACAAATATTTTTCTATTTTCAGTGTATCGTAGTTAGGCAACTCAGCACTCTTCAATATTTTGAATAATGCACAAACGACAAAGCTGTTATCAGAGATTCAAATAGCAAGTTTTGAAGAGAATTCAATTCTCTATCGATTGAGCTTAGAACCAACTCTGTGGACTATCGGATAATGCCTCATGAACAACGAATGAAAGTGTCCGATTTTATCTGGGCCACCCGATACTATTAAACTTGGATGAGGCCTCACTTTACCATATCATAAAGATTAAGGATATTTCAGAAACTGTTAATCAAGTAAATAGTGACTTAATTAGTATTTATAAATGGTCAATAGCCTGGAAGCTAGACCTAAATGTTGATAAGTGTAAAATGATGCCATTTCCAATTCGTCAACATACTCATTTTTTGTTACTATCCATTCTTATTAATAATACTACTATTCCTTAGGTTTCTGAATATAAACAATTAGGACTTATCATCAAGTCCAACCTCGATTGGATAGCACATGTTGATTATGTTTTGCATAAAATTAATCGTTTAATTGGTCTTTTAAAACTTCATACACGTGTGATATCTCGGAGAGCGTTGGACCTTGTTTATAAGTCATATATTTTAAATCAATTCAACTACGCATCTTCTATCTATGGGAATAAAAGGGATAGGGACGTAGCCCGCCTTGTATCACCTCAATATGCAGTGTCTAAAGCTGTCTCCGGAGCTATGGAGTTTACCTCAGTTGAGAATGTTCTCCACCATCTAGGTTGGGAATCTTTGACAGTTGTTTTTAAAAGTCATAGGATGACTCTATTTCATAAAATTGTTATCGATACGGCATCCTAGTACCTCAAAAACTTATTGTTTACTTCTCAAAATCTTCAATCTTCTTCTTATTCCTTGCGCAGCCGAGAGAGGCAGCTCGTTCCTACAACTTGTTGTCGTTTGAATATGATATACGACTCAATGTTTCGCACAGCGCATGAATATAATAAATTGTCTTGAAACTAGACTGAATTTTACAGTCACCGGATTCAAAGCTTGCCTAATACCCATACAAATCCAAGTAAAGATGCCTCCAATAGCTAATCAAGACGCTGATATTAGCTAATGCCGTTGTCGCTAGGCTTTTCACAGTTAATGATAAGAAGAATGTTGATAATCCCTTTTGTTCTTGTGATAACGTAAGTGTTCAATCCCTTTATCATTCCTTCTTATCAATTTATTCCCCTTTATCAATACATCTATCTTACTCCTCCTTTACTCTATTCAGAACTGTTCTCTTCACTGAACTAACAAACAAAGTCCCAAACCTTGTACCTGATCCTAAAACACTTTTATTACAACGCCCTATTGGTTACTAAAGCAGTTTGTGACTATATAGTCGGCACTAAAAGGTCACTCTTACGTCAATCTGATTTTATACATACTTTTTACTTTATAAAAGATAAATACACATCTGCACTGTTCTGTTGATCATACAACATGGATCACTAGATCCGCTAGTATGACTTCAAAATATATTATTAAATGTTTTCAAATAGAGATAGTTTAAACTAAGTTTCAGCTATTTGCAGTTAATTAGATTTTGATAAGGAATGGTCAGAAACCGTTTATTATGAGAAAACACTCGCTTACATGTTGAAGATGACGAATAACCTCAGGTATCAAATCAGCTTCGATAACACATTGTACTTGTTGTTGATTTCCAGCCGTTATATTCGATAAAAACCATACAGCTTCCTAAAAGAAAAGAAATGTCTTGAATTTACTTTTATAAAGAGTTAAACTGTCTTTTACTTTGTTTATTTTATCTTTTTCATGTTTCAATAATTTTGGAAAATAGGACAGTGCACCATTGTTTAAAACAATTTGTGTTTGTTCATCTGTTCCAGTAACAATGTTACCAACAGCTCTCAAGGCAGCTGTGACAATTTTAACTTCACTGTGATCTAATAATTTGACAATCATCGGTACAACACCAGAATCGACAACTAACTATAACGACAAAGACGAAAGAAAATATAGAAAATAGCTATGATATCATAATTAGATATGCGACCACACTTCGGTGCGACACTAACTGGGTAAAAACATCACGCCGCAGTCACTTCTGTACGACGCGTACTAATTACATTCTGTTTGAAGAAGAGTTCAATCGCGTTTGCCGAAGTAGCGAAAATCTATCTGGCATAATAGAAACATGAATATTTGATCATGAGCCATCCTGATGATAGGTTGAACTCAGTTATAATTACCTGAATTTGTAAATTTCCACCATCGAGAAGATATGCCAATGCCCATACTGTATCAACAAGGATCTAAAATGATAGGTGAAAAAAACATCTCTGTAGCTATGATGTTTATGAATAAGAGTCTGCTACTTACTGTTATATCTGTATAAGATATAAGATAATTTAAAGCTGGTAAAATCTCTTGGACGGCTTTTACAGGCTAAAAAACTAAGTATGATTTATCGAGCAGTAGTGAAATTATGCAACTTACCGGTGGAGGTTCTTTATGTCTGCATAGGTTAACAATCACCCATGTAACATTTCTTAGAAATGAAACTGGTATATCTTGTTGAATAAAGTGAACGAGAGGGTGCACTACGCCAAGTTCAATTGCATAATCACGAAGAACCGGTCCATCTCCTGCAATGTTAGATCAGAGTCAAAATAAGTGATGTTTATCGTGACAGAAAATCGAATAAAAAATATTTACCAATAATATTTCCTAGCGCCCAAACAGCTTGTTCACAAACATTTGGTTGTTTTGAATATAATAGTCTTAGTAAATGTGGCACAGCGTTTGCATCAACAACAGCTTTAGTCTGATTTGAACTGCCCGATGCGATATTTGTTAGTGCCCATGCAGCTTCAAATTGTAAATCAGGATATGTATCTAACAATAAACAATCAACTAAATTTGGTAATAAATCAAAACGAATTAAATCATCAATAGGAGGATTACGATCTAAAAGAAATACATCCATCTTTTTACTGTTGATGATAGATTATCCTCACATACCAATTGATAACATTTTTCTAAAAAGTAAAAATAAAGTTATTATAAATCATAGGTGATAACTAGATTTTTCTTCGCGTTAACATGCCAACTTTTTCATATGTACTAACCTTGCTGATCTTATAGCTTCAAAACGTATTTGTAAATCAGAACTTTTTGCTTTTTCAGCAATTTCATCTAAATTTGGTCGGCGTTTTTGTGCATCTTCTTCTGATTCTTCAGACATTCCGTTTTCATCAACTAAGTTGCGTTTGATTTTAATCGCTTCTTCACGTTTATTCTAAACAACGCGATAAATTCTTTTATCCTCATTAACTAAAAGAAGCTTTATTTACTTTTCGTAATGATATATTCAATTCATTTCGACGACGTCTTATTTCCTAAAGCAGAAAGAGCAATTGAATCTAAGAGAGAAGGGACCAATACTCACACCTAATTTGACTTCTACAGTTTTTCAAAATTTAGCATCGTCTAAGTTCTGTTTCTCTTTTTTATACTGTTCATCATCCTCACTACTCATCCTTACGCCTTTATCACTTTAAATATGTTCACATTTCATATATAACTATGAAACTTGGCTTGAATCATTATGTTTAGTTAATTTTACAACCGCTTTGTAGTTACTAGAGACTCAGACAGAATTCATTTCTGAAAGAATCAAAAGAAGATACCACGACCGGTTTCGATCTTTCTCAAGGATCACTGAGCACGATATCACTGTACAATGCAATCACTGTTGCATTGTACAGTGATATCGTGCTTCGTTCTCGTCGTGTGAAAGTTATCGTTCTTTGTTCGATAGGAACAAGGAATAGTAACACCCTCATACGGTGTGATGGAGTTGTGTTGCTTGTCGTGCCTTAACTCTGTCTTTCGCGAAGGAATCCACCTGACGAGACCCTTGAGAAAGGTCGAAATCGGTCGTGGTATCTTCTTTTGATTCTTTCAGAAATGAATTCTGTCTGAGTCTCTAGTAACTACAAGGCGGTTGTAAAATTAACTAAACATTCACATTTCATCTTCTGTTGATGATTTTTCTCCGCAAACGGTACATTCTTCTTTTTTTATTCAATTATTGCTGATTGGAATAATCTCCCTGAATCAGTTATTAGTCTTTCTTCTTTAATGTCTTTCAAAACAGCTTTACTTCAGCATCTCTTCCAGTGAAATGTTTTTGCTTGTTTTTTTTTAAAAATTTCTTTTTTACTACTTCTGGTTCTAACCTTAGTTATCTTCTTTATTTTGTTTTTTTTTATTACTCTTTTGGTGTGTCTGGCTTAAGTCATTGTTATTACAGGTCGGGGACCTTTGATGGCTCTCATTTTTCGTGAATAAAACGGGCTTTGTCTTACGTTTACTTACATCAGAGTCTTTTCCACGGTGCTTATAATCCCGTATACGATGATTTTTCGAGTCCATACTTGAGAATAAGCTTTCAAGCGGATCTAAACATACATGTAAATAAAAGATCATATCTAGCTGCTGTTTTAACTGTCAAAAAATAAAATTAATCTGATATCCTATTCTAAATCCCAAAATGTGACTAAACACGAAACGGTGAAACCAATTAAATGTGAGATTAACAGTCAGATTAACAGACTTTTAGAATTAAGTGCTGACGTTTGTGAGAAAAAATAAAGATTGTTGAATTTGAATACAAATGTCACGAGAAAAAAACCTTGTTTCCATTGACATGAGCTCTGAAGAGCAGCTTTAAAAAGATGGCTGACTTTGAATGCATAAGAATGATTGATTCGCTTGCTTACATTTTCTATTGGCAATTAAGATTGATGAATGAGCGCCTATCGCCACAATCTAACCAAGAGAAGCGACTTTATTTATGATCCAACAGTCAATATCAAAATTTTTAATAAATGAGCGACAGGAATTCTATAAAATTTCTAGTTCTAGACAGGATCTAATTGTCTGTTTCACAACGTCTCTGAATTACAGGAACTAACGACTATCGAAACCAGGAAAAATTTCTGGTTCAGTCACTGAATTCGTTTGACAAAGCTGTTTTTTTGAAACAAGGAATAATAAAGTATTCAGAAGTAGATGGCGCTCGTCGTGAAGTACAGATATATTCGTTTTGATTTCCTATCCTAATTAATTGAAAAAGTTACATTTTTATTCTCTTCTCTTTGATTCATAAACCATTTCTAGACACAGATTAACATAAAACATAAAAGGTATTTTGTTAGACTTTGGTTGCCATCTACTGTGAGTATGATATAATTTAATATATCTCCGAACGAACCGCGTTGGCCCTAAGAAATTTCGAGGAAACTTATCTTACAAATTGGACGGGATAATGGCAGATTCACTAATCAGAAGACGAAACGGATTTTTTTAATTCACTGAAGATTTTTTGTAGCAAAGCTATCGGCGTTATTTCCATTTTAGCTTATCGTAGCCAAGAGTAATAGCGATTTCAGAAAACGCGTATGTAATGTAATAGAGGCCACGCTAATGCTTTCCTTATTCTATGGTCATTGTTTCATGAAACTATCGGAAGGTCAGTTGATTATTCTTGGAGCCTGTTTCTCAAAAAAACTTAAGTATTCCACTTAAGTGGATTTTTAGGGAAAATATTAAGCAGTACTTAAGTTAACCTGAGGTCATACTGTAAAAACCACTCATATTAAGTGAAAACCTACGGGTGGCCGAGAGACCCCTTAAGTTAAGATACTTTCGAGAAACTCACTTAGCAAAATAATCTTATATCAAATTTTTTACTTAAACAAAACTTAAGTCTTTTTGAGAAACAGGCTCCTGTTGTTTTAGGCCTTGTTTACAATACACTTTTTTCCTACTTAAGTCGACCTTAGCTTTTCATCCATTCAACGTGCAAAAAGTTTACTTAATTTTTGTAGTGTGAAGAAGGCGTTAGAAAATATGATTTGAACAATCAAATTTTTTGTTCGTAAAATTGTCGGAAAAACGGTCCATGTCAATCATCAACAGTGTTTTCAGTAAAATACAAAATTATTTAGGCTTTATTGGAATAGGTGGAAAGATCTTGTCTATATGCAGAAAAAGATGTAGTGAACTGCTTCTGTATACTTTCCTAACTTTTTCCAATTTTTACTGTACTACTTGTCATCTATTGCATGCCAACTGTGTATCCTGCATTTTTCAACTGAGTTATAAAACCTTTTTTACAATAAAAAACAAAACGAAGAAAGAAAACAAAGGTTTATGAAGTGTGCATCAATTAGAACAGGTTCTAGAATTACTTTAATTTCAATACTGTGAATAGAAAAAAAAGACATTATTGGCTAACACTATTGGAAAGAATAATGGATTCCAACCTTTTGGGTCAATTCATTGTATTGAGATTCTTATCCTTCGTTTGACAAGTTGAGTTTTTCTAAAAAAACCTTTGATAATAAAAATAGCTACAATAATACGAATTCTCTCATAACTTGTTTCCATACTGTGCGTTCAGTCTAAGTCAGAGATCATCGCAGGACAGGGCTGCCTTGTTGTCCTGTCGTCCTGCTAGTGGCGTAACGAAAAAAACGACGGTAGTACGGCGGCGCCTTAGTTTTTTCAAACATCTGTTTACGGTAGTGTAAGTTTTTTTTACCCGATTTTATACTTTTTCTCGGTGGTACGGCACCGCCGTACTGTGATTACGCCACTACGCCCTGCCCTGTCTATCGGGCAGGGCGATAAATCTTTTTTGCCCTGCCCTGTTGTCGGACAGAGCAACAAAAAATTACTTGATTTGCCCTGCGAGAGATTGATTTTTGAGATTTTCAAGGTTCTTTTTCAGTAAAAATTTGAGATCGCTCGTATATGTGAAAATAAAAATAACAGCCACGTTTTCTAAAATTGATAATTAATAAAAAAAAGATTCTGTTACGCACGAGAAACGCATCCAGTATTTGTGATGAGTTTCTTAAAGATAAAGTCTTCTGGGTTAAGGAGGAAAACTTTCTTTTGCACTGCAGGGCGTCCTGCCCAGCCAGACAGGACAGGGCAACAAAATTTTTATTAGTAATTTACTGATAGGGCAGGACGAAAAAAGTTGGTCTCTGATCTAAGTCGATTTTCATCATATCTTTAGCGAGTTTATTAATGGGATATTTAACAAGTTATCCACGTTATTTCTGAACATGTTCTATTGTTTATAGTTATTGTTCTTAAACTGTTATTGTCTGTTTTTTTGCATTTTTTCCTTTTTCGGATGAAAGCTTTTTTTACTTTACTCTGATCAACGACGTGTACTGGAATAAATAAATACACGTGCACGTCGAATGTATTGAAGAAAAATTTTACTGCATTTATTTATTATTTTAATTAAAAAAAAAAACTTATTTTGTATTTGTTAATTATAAGTAAATAATATGTCGATATCGCGAATAAAACACGCAGCTAAGTCGTTGAAAACATTTCAAGGCATACAGTTTGAACAATGTCTCGATGACGGAGAAAACGCAGAGAGAGTCGGAAAATGGCTATTAGAAGTTTCGTGGGAAGTCGCGAACAAAGGTACGTATTGTCTAAATTGAAAAAGGATTTCAATTTTATAACCAACTTATTGAAAAAATGATACCTTTTTTTCAACTTTAAAGGACACGTTTGTTTCGAAATTAAAGCAGTAAAGATTTATTGAAATGTCACAGATTGATTCTAAAATTCTATGAATGAAAATATTTCTTCATCGTTATTTTAGTCGGGGGTATTTATACTGTGATTCGTTCAAAAGTTCCAATAACAAAAAAAGAATATGGAAATAATTACATTTGTATCGGACCGTACAATGATTCTTTTGTACGAACCGAAGTGGAAATTGGAGAATCAAGTGTTAGTGCGATTCGAGAAACTGTCAAAGAAATGCAACGATACGGAATTCATGTAAGTTAATGGTGTTATCTATTATTTATATTACTAAGATTTCAATTTTACATCATTTCATTTGCTCAACTCTCGTCTTTTCTTTTAAGGTTGTAACTGGAAATTGGCTAATTGAAGGTTATCCACAAGTTGTTTTATTTGATATTGGCTCGGCTGCTCATCGCCTCGACGGTTGGAAAGGTGATTTTTTCCAGTATGCGCACATCGGAATACCTTACCATGATCGAGAATCAAATGATGCTGTGATATTTGGATTTTGCGTTTTTTGGTTTATTGGAACGGTGAGAATGATCTTTGATGTGTTTCACAAAAAAGATCTTAAGGCTAACTTAATTTTAATCTAAAACGTGTCTGAATCTGTGTCACAAACATGGCTTAAGAATAAAAATTTTAAAACCAATGCGGCGGCTATCATGTTAAGAATTTTAATAAAAAGTTTTAATAAAATAATAAAAAATTAAACAATTGTTTAATTTTTTATTATTTTATTAAAACTTTTTATTAAAATTCTTAACATGATAGCCGCCGCATTGGTTGTAAAATTATTATTCTTAACTTTGCCCATAAACTCGAAAAACGTTATGGCTTAAGATAGACTCTATTTTAGACACGTGCAACTTAAACCATACTTAAGACATGCTAAAATCGAAAAATTTAAAATAAGACGAGAAGAAATCTTAAATTGATCGTAAATTTTAACATTCAAGTTAGATATCTAGCTTAATTTTAGCTTTAATTCTTTATAATGCATACATCTCTCATCCATTCAACTAAAATGATCTAATTTCCTCTACTTTTAGTTTCTTGAACAATTGAAACACGATAAACATCGTTACGTTATCGCACACTTTCACGAGTGGTTGGCCGGAGTGGGATTAGTTATGACGCGATTGAGAGGATACGATTGTGCTCTTGTATTTACAACGCATGCAACATTATTGGGAAGATATTTATGTGCAGGAAGTACAGATTTTTACAATAGTTTACCATGGGTAAGTATTTTATGTTTAAAGTATAGGAAAAACAAATTTATTTTTGTAAACATCCTCTGATGTCTATAAATATATTTTTACATTGCGTGATAATGTCACTTTTGGATACGTTTCGGGATTATGTGTTTGATTTGGAGTTTAGTTTAATTTGGATAAAGAAGCTGGTGATCGACAAATTTATCATCGTTATTGTATTGAACGTGCTGCTGCCTCGTGTGCTCATGTCTTTACAACTGTCTCACAAATAACTGGGGTTGAATCTGAATATCTGTTACATAAACGACCCGGTAAGTGTCTAATTTGTAAATGATTACTATTTCTCTTTTTTTACATTTTATTTTTTGTTATTTAAAGACATTTTAACACCAAATGGTTTAAGTGTTAAACAATTTGCTGCATTACATGAATTTCAAAATCTTCATGCACAAAATAAAGAAAAACTAAACGCATTCGTTCGTGGACATTTTTATGGGTAAGTAAGCTCGTTTTAATTTTCTTTCAGTGCGATTATATTGTATATTTTTATTTTTATTTTTTAAAGACATTCTAACATAAAACAATCTAATTAATCCATTGCATAAAAGCTATCAAACTTTTTTAATTTAGTTGAATTTTACAACCGCTTATTAGTTACTAGAGACTCAAACAGAACTCATTCCTGGAAGAATCAAAAGAAATACTTAATGGAGAGCAGCAGAATATGTGCAATGGCCGGTGATATCGTACTTCCTTGTCGTTGTGAGAAAGTTATAGTTCTTTGCTCGATAAGACCAAGGAATAGTAACACCCTCATACAATGTGGACGGAGTTGTGTTGCTTGTCGTGCCTTAACTCTGTCTTTCTCGAAGGAAACCACCTTAAGAGACCCTTAAGCCCCTCTCGGATCAGGATGCTGATTTTCATCAAAAATATCGACTTTGAGACAAGCACATGGTTCGATAGCCCAAAGTGTCTACTTTCTAATGGCATAATTTTTTGTCGATAGGATAGGTTTTGAGCTTTCCAGAAGCACGGTAGCAAAAAAAATATTTTTTTTGCACTTGTGTTGCATAAGCGCACGCACGTGCCCGCGCACGTGTTCATTATATCCACCAAAACCGATAACCTATAGCAAAATATCAACAAATTATTTAACGCTCAAACAATTTTTAAGTAAAATGCATGTAATGGAATCAAAACTTATTTTGCGTCTTTCTCAAGACTGTTTTTTAGCTTCAGAGCTTTGCCACGTGCAGGAATTCTCGGTAACGATACATCGGAGATAGAAATTTTGATTTTTCATTTATAGATAACACCTACAGCTGGGAGTTGACAGAGTCTGATTTTTAAATTATGTTTCCATTTTTTTTTATAGAAATCAGGATTTCTAAGAAATCTTCCAAGAATTTTTCGAACTTCTATTAAGTACCAGAAATCAGTAAATGAGAAATCCAAAACTCAAAAATTCTGTTAACTCCTAGCCACAGATGTTTACCGCAAAACAAAAACAGCCCGACCTTTCTATTATTTACCTGGAATAAAAATTCTTGTACGTGGTAGACGCCTATTTTTGGTCCTTGTTGTGGCACCCTCCAACGAACAGTGGCAAGTGGCTCCAAAAAACATTTCGTTACCACACTTTGACATGGTTAACATTCCCTGAAAGTTTGGTTCAGATCACACCTACCTGGGCTGAGATAGATTTCTGACCCGGGGGAGGAGGGCTTAAGAAAGGTCGAAACCTGTCATGGTAACTTCTTTTGATTCTTTCAGAAATGAGTTCTGTTTGAGTCTCTAGTAACTGATAAGCGGTTGTAAAATTAAACTAAATTAAAATTGTATCGAGTCGAGTTTCAGATTTCATATAGATTTACGCTTTTTAATTTAGACCATTGATCCAGATACTAGCAATTAAGAAAGAATAAACTATTTTATTCAAGAACTTTTTTTAGGATTCAGTAGTATGACAAAAATGCAGCTGTTACGTGATGATTGTCTTTTGTCCTCCTTCTACTGCTCCTGTGCATGCTGAGTTTTTTAAGAACAGTTTAAGATGTTTTTCCCCTTTTCTTTTGAAGTACGATGTCTGGTAGAAAATATTGAATCATATGTTTTGCTTTCATCAAACTCACTTTTTGTGATAAAAGGATGTTTCTTTAATAGAGTTTTAGCAGAAAAAGAGAGAAAAATGACTTTTGCTTCTGCAATTTTAAGGGAATCTATTGGACGAAATATTTTCAATTTTTTGCTCACAATCTCATGCTTAGTCTATTAGATGTATTATTTTGTATTTTTAGGCATTATGATTTTGATTTGGATAAAACTCTCTATTTTTTTATCGCTGGTCGATATGAATTTTCAAACAAAGGTGCTGACATGTTTATTGAATCGCTTGCCAGACTAAATCATATGTTAAAAGTTAGTGTAATCAAATATTATTCGAAATAAGTACTATAGGATTCAAAATATAAGATACTATGCGCCTCTTTGAATAACTCGGTAATACAAAGAGATATTCCGAAACGATTTTGGTCAGTTTGTAGCCAAGTCCGGAGACATCGAACTATAGAAGAAGAAAAATTTTCGACCGAATTTCTAGAGAGTTTTCAGGTGGATCTTTAGAAAACCACAATGATTTTCAAGGATCCAATATTGGATTTTGCTTTTTAACACATGTATTCGATAGAGAAAATTGTTCTCGTTCGAACTGCGTAAAGCCGGTGTTTCTAGATTGTTCCGTTCAGGAGTTATAAGGGTTTTCCAGAGACCCCGATTTCGACCAGTTGTCCCTGGAGCCGAAAAATAGGTCTAGAAAGGGGTAATCGACCACGCTGAGTCAAGTGATGATGTTTGTTTCCAGTCTCAAAGCTATCTGAAGTCACCAGGTCAAAGTTTTCGAAATCTAACTGTTTCCGCTATGTACCAGAAAGTGACGATGTTTCGAAAACTTTGACCTGGTGACTTCAGATAGCTTACCAGATAGCAACCAAAACCGTTCTGGAATATCTCTTTGTATTACCGAGTTATTCAAAGAGGCGAATAGTATCTTATATTTTGAATCCTATAGTAGTTATACGTTTATTTTGCCTCTATTTTTCTAGGCTGTTGGTTCTGACATTACAATCGTTGCATTTCTCATATTCCCCACATCCACTAATAATTTTAATGTCGAATCATTAAGAGGACAATCTATTGCAAAAATGTTGAGAGATGCAGTGCAAAATGTCCAAGGAGAAATTGGAAAAAGATTATATGAAATCTGTCTCAAGTAAGAAATAGTAAATGATAATACAAATAATTCTTATTAATGATTGCTATTTTTAGAGGAAGTATTCCAAATCCAGATCAAATTCTGAGAAATGAAGATCTGGTAGAACTAAAAAAATGTATATTTGCATCACAGGTACTGAAGATAAAAAAATCAACTATCTTCATTCAAGAAGTGATATTATGCATAACTGCAATTTTAATTGAAAAAGACTGGCAATTAGAGGACATCATTGACTGTTTTTCATAGCGTCTTTTCTCAGAAAATAAATACGCATGTGAAATGTTGGTCTCGTTGCTGCATGGATCGAATCAAGTGCAGTTGAAAGGTACTTACGTAATGTTAGGGTAAAGTACTCTAATACAGCTGAGATACGTATATTTTTTTATTGCCAACGCTTTAATATATTATCGAAGGCTTTTTTTGGTGAAATGATGAATATTTCTTCTGTATTCGATCACTAGCATAACCATTACCAAAATACTTTGCGTGTAACCGATAGTTATGCTGCTTAAACAAGCTCCTCAAACGTTCAACAGGAAGGTAATATGAATCGACGATAAAAAGCAATGGGAAAGAGGTAGAAGTCAATAAAGTATAGAACTACTATGAAAATCAACATTACTCTTTATTTAACTTGATCCAAGTTATAAAAATGCAAATTTTTCTTACCCTGAGCTCATTATCAGGTGTACGGGCAGATGTAAACAACAGTTTTATACATTTTTTTCTTTCTATTCTATCCTTTGGGGATCTATACATAGAAAAAACGCTTTTGACACTTAATCTTAATATCTATCTAATCATAATTTGTCTTTTTTCCTAGCGTTCATCTCTTCCTCCAATATGTACTCACAATGTTGTTAATGATGCTACTGATCCAATATTATGTGCATTGCGTCGTTGTCAATTATTTAATAATCGTTCAGACCGTGTTAAAGTTATATTTCATCCAGAATTTTTACGATCAACATCGCCTCTACTACCAATGGATTATGAAGAATTTGTTCGTGGTTGTCATTTGGGAGTATTTCCTTCTTATTATGAACCATGGGGATATACTCCTGCTGAATGCACAGTAATGGGCGTTCCTAGTATCTCAACAAATTTATCTGGTTTTGGCTGTTTTATGGAAGAACATGTCAGTGATCCAGGTTCTTATGGAATTTATGTTGTTGATAGAAGATACAAAAATGCTGAAGAATCTGTTCAACAATTAGTTCAAGTATGAGTTGTTTTTGTTAGAAATATTTATCGGAGAAAGATGATCCTACGCCGATCAATTTTTTTAGTACATGTTTGATTTCTCACAATTAGCCCGACGCCAACGTATTCTTTTAAGAAATCGAACAGAACGTTTAAGTGAATTGTTAGATTGGAATACACTTGGAATAGTAAGAATATAAATTCTATAGTTCAAAGAGTTTTATTTATATTCTTTGTTGTTTACTTTTCATTCTAGTATTACTATAAAGCACGTCAATTAGCTCTAGAACGAATACATCCGGAAATACATGAAGAAATGATGAAAATTGTAAGTGGAACATTAGATACTCTTACTCTTATACTGAACACTGATCGACATGAACTTTTGCTCACAGATAAGAGAAATAAAATTAAGCCTTTTATTTAATTATACTAAATAGTTTCGAGATTGATGATTATATTTCTTGTAGACTCAAAATTTTTCAGTATTACGTCCGTCGTCTGCTCCCTCTTCGCCTGGTGCATCTCGTTCATCGACACCTGCGCCAATGGATGATGATTTTACAGATGATGAAGAAGAGCAACAATCGCCCGAGGATCAATCAGCATATCAACATTCACCATTCGCAAAAATTCCTCGACCTCAATCTGCGAAAAACCTTGTAGATTCACCGTTTAATCGACTAGATGATAACGATGAAGATGATTCAAATGCTGATAGCGGTATCAATTTACAATCGAATCATGGGCAGCAAACACTACGTGATGACGTTCTTGCAGATCCAACTTATAAGAGTAGTGGAAAATCACAAATTTTACCAGATTCAACATTGGACAAACTAGGATTAAATTTAGGTTTGTATTTTGCTAAAACAAAAAGGTTAAATAATGCGTCAAGAAACGTTGAATAAAGAAAAGCCTAACTTTTTCCACAGATTATTAATAGAAATTTAACTTAAAAAACGAAAGAAGCACAGTGGGCAACCACATGGAAATTAGGCGAAAAAACAAAAGTGAGATTTTTGGAAATTCAGATAATGTCACATAGACAGTATTCAATGGCCGATTTAGTGGTGAAAAAATTTTGATCCACATGCTT